AATAAATTTAAAATAAAAAAACAATTATTTTAAGATAAAAAAATTAAAAATTAATGATAAATTTAAAATAAAAAATAATTATTTTAAGATAAAAATAGTATTTTACATCATCCTTTACCTTTGTTACATGAGAAAATTTTATATCGATTAATTAAAAAGAAACATATATAGTTATAACGAGCCTCTCACCTGTAGTTAATTGGGATCCCCTTTTGTTGTGAAGTATAGCTAATATAATAAATAAAGATTCTCTATAATATTTCTCATACGCCTTGGCTCTGGAAAGCACAATTCAGCCATCTAGGCAAGGCTGAGAGGGCCTCAAGTATAGAGTTACGCCATTGCCAATCCTCGCAGTACTTACCTACGCATCCCAAAACTGCTACATATATTAGTACCTTAATTAGCTTCTCGTGAGAAGGATTCCAGGATTATGAATTAAAGAAACATGCAAACCCCATATGGTCCAGTGGTGGCCACATTGTCTCTTGCACAATAGGTGGACTATAATCATTTCTGAAGTTCGATCCGCCCACAGTACAACAGATACTAACACTTAACCATTTCTTACTGTAAAAAAAAAAGAAGAAAAAAAAGAAGGAAAATGATGTGTGCACACCCGGGTCAACACCCGGGTGTGCACACTCCCCATTGAAAAAAAAAAAAACCCATCCCCACCCGGTCCACTCTTTTTTTTTTATATGGGGGTGCACACCCGGGTGTTAGATCCGGGTGTGCACCAATCAGGGTCCAAAAAAGAAACATGTTTCTTTCTTCCAGTTCACCTCCATTCTCTACTGGGGATGGATGAGAGAACACTCTGAATCGGCATCCTCCTCTCATATAACCAACCCTAGAGAAGTATATTATCTTAGCAAATTGACAAATCAAGACAATTCCTACACTATCCAACAGCATTATAATGTTTCACCATACATAAAACTGGAGTAAAAGTTGAAGATATATAACATGAAGTGCTAATCACAACTCAATCTCGGAACATGATCATACATATTCCATGTTTTTCTTCTTATATCTGTGAACTTGTAATCCCGTGTACAATATACAAACATCTACGAATTATAGTTAATGTCAATACAAAACAAGCAGGTACAGAAGAAATCAAAGGCAACAACAATCGAACAATTAGTGATTCTCTTTTATATGTATATTATTATGTGTGAAGGGCTGAAATGTGTACATTTTGATTGCCGCAAGATTTGCAGCTAGATGTTATGAGAAGGAACGACATGACCAAAAAAGATCCCTAAGCTCAAAAAATAAAAGGCATGGAATCATTTAAGATGATACTGAGAGACAACCACACAAATCAATAATAAGATGATGCATGTAATGAAGTACCAAGCACATCTGGCTGCTGTAGGAGCTGTTTATCAGTTTATGGATATGAGCCCCCACCATATTCCTGAAACCTGATACTGTGTCATCCAGTGCCAGTCAAAAAATTGACAGAAAATGTATGGCTTCTCAACTTGAAATGGGAACAAGATGTCTCCCCAATAAGTATGACGTGTTATTTAGTCAACCTTTGATATTGGGAAACACTTATTGATCTTCAGGGGAAAAAAAAAAAAAAATCAAAAGCCACAATACAAATATTCTCTCACAAAAATGTAACTTGCATCCCAGGCCCAAATCTGTCTCAAACAGCCCAGAATGTTGAGGGCCTTCTCCTATCAAGCTTCAACCTCCAGCCATTATTATCATTATTCATGGGCTTCAATAATTGCTCCGCTTCAATCTCAGAATGAAGCGAAGACTGCAACCTCTTCAAATATCCATGGCACTGCTTGTGACCAGGAAAATTAGTGCATGTAAGATTCTTTTCCCCCGGAGTGGACTGCCTCTGGTAGGATGAGTTCCATTTTGCCTGCAAATAAGCAAGAGATCTCCATGGAGGAAGAGGCATTGAGTTTTGCTTGAGAGAAGAATGAGAAGCTTCAACCATGATTGGAAGAAACTGTTTCAACGTAGTCAGCGAGCCAACATAAACAACTGGAAGTAAATTCAGTATTCTATCGTAAGAATCAACTGCTCTAGCTATTTCAAAGTGGCTTCGAAAGTCAACATCAATAATCAAACGTTCAGAGCTTCCACTATTGTTGCAATCAACCACATCAATATATTCATGATCTCCTGCATGCATTTAGGTAAAAATCTTTCATGATTGAAATCAAAATAAACTTAACTTGTAGTATGTAACATGGTGTACAGATATATGTCTGAAAGAAGCAAGGTGGGGAGTACAAAAAAAGTCAAGTTCCCAAGACTCTGGCACTTTATAGTCTATTACACAAAACAATTTCTTTTTTAAAGATATCAACTGAATTTTACAATTCATAGACTATGGAATAGGAATAACAGAGGAAGCTGTTTCTGCTCTTAGAATTAGATATATACCAGCCTACCAATTGATGGATGATAGGGTCACAGAGGGTGCAGAAAAATGTTTCTCCAAAATACACATGCACCAAGAAACAAGCAAAATACACGCAAACTTATGACAGGTCAAAAAATAGGGTGGTTAGAAGATGAATAAGGCACTCAAACACACACACACAAAGACTACAGGAAATCTTATTAAGTATTACTATTAATTAAAACAAGTGTAATTTACTTCCCTTGAGGCAATACAGTGTTCAATTATTTAACGATCCATAAGCAAGCAAAGCATTATCAATTATAGCACACCAAAAAATGCTTTAAAAATTACGATTCAGGAAGCCTACCTCCAGGGACCTTGCCACTACCCTGCCACCTTGATGCACAAACAGCAGCATCATAACCAGAAAGCCTCAAAAGCTTTATCAAATAAAACCTGATGCAGCTACCATTACATGGACCTGACTTGGCAAGGTGAAGGTCTGTCTCGTTTATAGATAGTATAAGAGAATGAACCACAGAAAGCAAGTCGTTCTCATATTGAGCTACTGAGTGCTTATAAAACTACAAGAAATATGAAAGAAATAAGACAGATAGTAAAGGGAAGAGTTTATATTAATCAAGACTAATCTAATGATCTCCTTGGAACAGGAAGATAACTCAAATTTGACCAAGTGACAAGGAATTAGCTTATGGACAGCAGATGGATTCAAATGATCAAATAATATACTGAATAAAACTCATGTCAATACAAAAGTCATGAGATTATTGAAAAACTACCAATCAAAATTACCTATTTAAGCATTGATATGAATGGAAGGAACATATCATACCGATTGCAGATTACTTACTCAACAAACCCATTCAGTTCTAACTCACATAAACAATATGAAGCATTAACATATATACACAACAGCAAAACCCTCAAATCCGCTCCTTGGTAGTGACAGATTCACCCCTAAAAAAAACTTGCGGGATAAATTACTCTTTTAAATTATAAATCAAGATAAATCACTTATTTTGTAATGGATTTTATTTTCCATATAAATATTTTTTAATGAAAAATTGATCTCACACGTTAAAAACTAAGTAATTTATCTTAATTTATAATTTAAAAATGTAATTTATCCTGCATTATGTTGAGAAGTAGATCTGTCGCTTGCCCTCATTTGAGATTTTGCCTATACACAACAGAATACGAATTCCACAAGCAGAAAAGTCAAAACTTCCCATCAGAAGAATAGCACCTTAATCTAAAAAAATAAATAAATAAATAAAAATTGCATGTGGAAACAGTATAAGCACAGTCATCAGCATGCAATTAAAATACCTAGCTCATTCAAGCAACTAAATTTTGATATAGAAAACAAAATTATGTAGCTAGATTTGCAAATGGGTCGTGCGGAGTCCTCGAACCAAAAAGAGAAAACTGGGAAAGGGAAGGGAGACGGCAGGATGAAACCCAAACCAGCTTAAATAATAAAAAAAACTTACCGAGATCCTTTCAGCTAGATGAGGTAGATCGGCGAGGCCAGAGTCGCTATCGCTGCTGCACCAGGACTCTGTTCCGGCACTACCGCCATTCTCCAAGAAATCGCTGACCATCATGGCAAGGTCGTGCTCGCTCTCGTGGCTAAACTCCCCACCCCTCAACCCCCACACATTATTATTATTATTCTCCCCGGCTGCCACCCACACCCTGCACTCCATCACTCCCTCAAACACCACCAGCCCAAATCACGACGATACCTTTCCTTCCTTCCTTCCTTCTGAGTCTCTCAAACCATCAGAACAAGGATCAAACCCAATTCAACAAGAGTCCAACCAATTTTCTCTTTGGAAGGAAAAGCAAAATGGATACGAAATGAAGACCCTGTTTCTCTCGGAATCGTTCAGGGAGTTCTGGATGTCGGGTTGCGTCTGGTGTGATGAGAGGGAAGATTGAGGTGGTTTCTGGCGAGGAAGGAAACAAATTGAAAAACCCAGACAAAATGGGATGGAATGGAATGGAGGCAATGCGAATCGGGGCTTCTTATAAAAGTTTAGGAAAGCGACAACACGTAAAATGACCCAAATGCCCTTTTGTTTATTTGGTCTCACTGTTAATAAGTCTCCACCCTTTTCGAGGGAACTGGTTACTGGATAATGCGAAATTATTGTACTTGGACGAAATTAAC